GATATCAGGCCCTTGTAGAGCAAAATTGAGTATTTTGGTCTAAATAACCCAAAATGTGATGTCCACATATGTGGACGCCAGGTCCTAGGAGGTTAAAGGGGTCACCAGTATATGAAATCATAATTTTGTATTTGTTTTGGCCAATCTTTGTCTAATATAACATTTTTTTGATGATCTGAAACATTTAAATCTGACAAATACGTAAAAAACTGGCTGCAGTATTTTGTTTTGAATATATGAGGGTTGAAATGAGAATGTAATCTTTCTCCATCTATCCTCTGTGACACCACTCAACTGGTTGCTATTATGTTGTTGTTTTGTTGCTTTGCTTTTTAGGTATCAGACTAATAAAATGTTACAATTCCAACCAAACTGAAGCTCAAACCTCTGAATGACTCAGCAAGTCATAAAATTTGTCAGTTCCATTTAAAATCGCCTCAAACACCACCAACACGGTACATGGGTCCAGTTCATGAACTGAAGTTGGCAGGGAATGCTAAACCATAGTTACAGTGGTAGAGGTGGTGAGTGAAATTCTAGTATTAATTAGCAGATATTAGATTTCAGCACACTTTAAGTTTTGTTGAGAAACTGTTAAACCTTTGCAGTATTTTCCGGATTACAGACCCCTGAAAACATCTGCACAAATGAATGAACTAAATGGGTAACTGGCAAACTGGTAAATGATAACTTTGGAAAAACCTCCCTGAAGAGATCATTCTGTCATCTTTTCAAGCATGTTTTAAAAACTCTAAGAGCTCTGAGTCTTAAATATTTGTCTGCTTTGTATTTAGTAACAGTCTGACAAGTTTACGGGCCTCTGGAAACATGCAATACAATTAAAAGTCCTGAAATAGAGTGCAGAGTCATTCACAACTGGGCTTTATCTTAAAATCAGGTGCGATGTGCTCCTTTTTTCATGTCCAGGTAAACTCCCAGCTCCTGCGTTTGAGCGCTTGCAAGGGTTTTTGCCTAAGTGCACTAAAGACGACAATACACAGACACAGGATGTGCAAGAAGTGCCAGATGGATGATGGTGATTATATAAAAACACAAATCAAATCACTTAATCTGAGAGAAAGCAAACTCTTTAAGTCGACAGCTTAAAACAGGGACTTCCCCTGTAATTCCATGTCACAGTGTAGGTAATGATGCTGTCACCAAATAAAGCTGTGCTGAGTCTCTTTGGATAAATGTGCCAATTCCCCCGTCCCATTTTCACGTTCCTACCTCACAGACTAGGTTAAGAAAAAGAAAACATTTGCAAAAACAGCTTATGGAAAAACAATATAGATGTAGTCAAGGAAAAAGATGTTTTCTGTTCTTAATGATAATGCACATGCACACACACACACACCATCTCTTGATCCGTGGCCATAGAAACCAGCTGACCCGAGTCACACAGCAGTTGCTATGCAGTGTGACTATGTTGTAGATTTGCTCCTCCCCCTTTCTCTGCTTTCCTCCATGATTTTTTTTTTCTTAACACTGCTTTATTGATCGTCAATAAGCCACATTTTCCCTCTTCCAATTTGACAATGTGGACATAAAGT